AAGTTTGTTTTTTCAGGGATAAATATGTTCCCTTGTGAGCATACATTTCCAGTAAACACTAAGTCGTTCATAATAAACACACTGTCCATTTAAGCCGTCGTAATATGAGGTTTTATGATTACGGTTATTTGTGATCCTACTTAACTCCACTTTACATGCCAATATAAACATTATACTTTCATTCGCATACACATGGAAAAGATCGCGAAACCTCCAGGATTCTTTCTTATCGTATTATGAACGTATTAAAAGAATAATAATAATAAAAAGAAATAAAAAAGAAATAGGAGAATAAAAGGAGTGTACATATATATACTTTGAGTATTTAGTTCGAAGCAAGGTATTGTGCAATCAGGAGCATTGGTACCGTGTGAGGATACTATATAGTCTTTACTAGATTCGTGACAATGTTGCCAATGTTCTGTTTTGCTATATTTAAGATTCCCCACTACATCAGATGTTCTCCGTGACACTAATCATGCATTATTACGGGTGCATCCTCAGGTGTCATGAGGCCCATACCGTATAGTCGAGAAATTCTCGGGAACGAATTCACCAGCCGTGATAAATCGTTTTAGTGCGGGAATATAGTGAAGCTTGGACAAAGCTTACGAACAAATCATATCGAGTGGACGCGGTAAACGATAATCGACTTTTTTACAGCCAACTTCATGTTCATGGAAACGCGACGCACGAACGTTACCGCGATTATTTTGTTTAAATCGTTCGAACTGAACTTAGAAAAGAAAGAAAAAGAGAAAAGTTACCAGAACAATCGTTCGTAGGATTTTATGAACGCTTTTTACAAGTTTAGTGTGATTATTGATAAATATGTATGGTAGAAAAGATACGACAAGAATCGAGGCAGAGAAATATTTTTAAAAGATATTAATGTTTCCTCGCATTTCATATATCCTTCCCTCGATTCTTGCCATAATAATACAATATGTTCATAATAAAGCTCCATTCGTCATAGTCGCACGACCTTGGCTACTCGCGAACTCAATTTTCGTGGTATTTCTCTATAAATATTACCGAGACTGTCACTGATAATGTTGACATTTATCTGCTTCGCAACATTCCTTCCAAATTTCAGTGATAAAGAAATCCATCGATAACCTCTTACGTATGTCCGATTTCTTCCGAACACCCGGTATAATTTTAGAAGAAAAATATCTCTAAAGACAGTACTTTAGATTAATTGATAAATAAACGTCACAAACATTGCAACGTTAACTGTATCCGCGGTTCGAAAATGCTTGACAATCTAATCTACGAAGGAGGCCTAATGAAATTGCTACAGCAACCTCGATATACCTTATTGCATTCCTTGAACTATATTACAAGAATAGCCGTATGCGACTCGACCTACAAAGAGCTTTATCACGTGCAGAGAAGACGGTTTGTTTTAGGTGCGTGTACGGGTCCTACCTTTTTCAGTGCGAACGACAACACAGTGTCCCGATACGCCCCACACCGTCCTTCTCCGTCGGCTGCCGGCGCACGACTGTGGATAATTCGCGGTTGCGAGCGGCCTAGATATATAGGAGCTATATTTAGCGACTGTCGTCACGAGAGGCGCGCACGATTGGTCAACAGTGACGTGACAGGCGCGCGTGATTGGCTGATTACACCGCGAATATATTGCGATTGCTTGGTGCAGGCCTGGCTTACGGCTGGGCGCGACTCGCAGGCACGACATTTGTTGACATGAAACTGTCAGAGAATACGCGGTCTCTTAATGTGCCGGTATATTCGAGCCCGCGTGTTGCTGTTCCACCTATGTCGATTCTTTCCGTTCATTTTCATCTTTACTTTCAACGTTATTCACTTATCATCATATTACAGAAGATGTTGGATGCTTTCTTCTTGTACACTCCCTCGTTGTTTCAAAATGTTGTTTTGACTTAATTATAATGTGACGTAAAACAATTGTAGCAGAATACATGATGATTTAAAATTATTTGATTATTAAATCATTGATGGCTGAAAAAATTCTGTACTTTTTAACGTGTAACATGTATCACTAAAGGAATGAAGTTTAAGTATTTTATTTTGCATTTAGTATTTTGCATCGTCGACTTAATGATAAAAATGTATACAAACTTTTGAATATGATAGCTTTTTTGATTGCAACTATTAATCATACTTATTTTAACACTATAACCTCGCCTTTCCCTTCTCTGAGCTTATACTAAAGAATTGAAAATGAAGTATAATATTCTTTAAAATAATTACAATGTTTTATAACGCATCACAGAAAATATATACAATTATTCTAATCACATTCTGAAAGATCTAATAATAATTAATTCCAGTATTACCGGTCACCGGTGACCCCCATGGCGTCAATACCAATTCAACTACCGGTCACCAGTGACCCCCATAGTAGTCAATGTGTTAAATAGACATATGATCCAACAGGATCGGTGAAGTGGTTGAACCCAAGATCCAGTTTATTAACTGGAACAAGGTTCGTTCGTATTCTTCGAAGTACAGGTGAACAATCATTTGCGAACCGGGCTAGGTGAGTGGGTGGAATTTATGGAGAATAGGAGCGATGGTAATGGACGATTATTAACGCGGCGCGCACTATTAATTTGCACGAAGCTTTCGAAAAGCCTTGAAGTCGGTTGTCGTGCCTCTCTTCGCCTCTATGAAATCATAGATTTCCCGGCAGTATTATTATGCGAAAATTACGCTTCAAAATTAGTCACAGTCCATTAACGTGTGCGTACACAGATAGGAGGACGGGGTTGGGCATGGTAAAAAAAAAAA